TCATCAAAATGCCTCCTTACATTCGCTTTTGTAGCAAATGATTTACAACATACTGGACAACTCCTACTTATTGGAACTAGAACATTCTTACTGCGTCCTTTAGAGGACTGATTTGGATTCTTTCGTGTTTCAATGTACTTTTTTAGTTCTTCCATCTTTTTCTTGTGTACTTTTCGAATGTGACGACGAACACCTCGTCTGGAATTGAATTCTTTTCTACAAAGACAGCATATCAACTGGTGACCAAAATCAGAATTGTCTGAAGTTTCCAAGTCAGCCTGTGATTCCTGAGGTTGCTCATCAGATGTAGGTGCAACTTCATCTGCAACAATCTCAACAGGTGGGGGCTCTACAGCTTCCACCTCCGCATCATCAAAATGCCTCCTTACATTCGCTTTTGTAGCAAATGATTTACAACATACTGGACAACTCCTACTTATTGGAACTAGAACATTCTTACTGCGTCCTTTAGAGGACTGATTTGGATTCTTTCGTGTTTCAATGTACTTTTTTAGTTCTTCCATCTTTTTCTTGTGTACTTTTCGAATGTGACGACGAACACCTCGTCTGGAATTGAATTCTTTTCTACAAAGACAGCATATCAACTGGTGACCAAAATCAGAATTGTCTGAAGTTTCCAAGTCAGCCTGTGATTCCTGAGGTTGCTCATCAGATGTAGGTGCAACTTCATCTGCAACAATCTCAACAGGTGGGGGCTCTACAGCTTCCACCTCCGCATCTGCAACTGGTACTGTTTTAGACTGTTCAGTGCTGGTTTCCTGTATTTGAACTTCAGTTTGTTCAGGAGTACTGCTTGACTCTGTGACTTCAGTAGGATTATCAGTCCTTGAAATATACTGAAACACTGCATTTTGATTAGTTTCTATGGGTTCTAGCTTAATAATATATTCTCGCTTGTCCACACTTGGATATATGGCTTCTAGGAGATCATTTATGGCTTGGCTTTGTTTATCATTTACATCAGGAAGGTCTGTTAAGGAAAAAACAACATTTTAATCTGAACTCATCTGCATGCTCTAGCTATCTAATATTTAAAAATGTATTATGAATCCCTATCTTAAAATTTATTACTAGCGTATTTTTAGAAGAGCATTATCTACTTTTACATATTTTAAAACTAGAATTAAACTAAAATTAATTTAAAATCTCATCAACGTACACAAATGTTAAGGAATAAATGCAATCTGAAGAGCTACTTCCACTCCTAAGTGCCCTTAACACCAACTACATAAGCACATGAATGTCCTAAACAATTAAAAGAGTATTTCAAATTTTCAGTCTAAAATTTTCAGGCCAGCAAAGGCAAATCAAAGTTCTCATAACCCAAGATGGATAACACATCATGAAGAATGTACTATTATATAAAAAAATGATTCTTTTTTTGGAAAACATAACAGCATTCCTATTAACTTAATCCGTAATAATCTAGTCTACTTGTAGAGAGGCACCCTTAAAGATCTTATGGAAATGAAAAAGAAAGATTTGTAGGATATAAAAATGAATGACACGTACAAAGTCTTTGCTATTACAGGGCTTAACAGGATACCATCCCATTCAAACAAGTGATTAAAAACTACAGATTTATTCCAAAAACAGAGCTAGTTTTATTTACTTGCACAATAATTATGTCCCTATAGAAAATCAAATATTCCTCCTATAATAGATTTATCTAACACTGGTTATGTTTCCATACAACTCTAAAATCTAGCTACAAATATAGCATCAAATCTGATATTTAAAAACAAGAAATTATTGCTCTTTTAGAAATCTTCCCATTTAAAACAGATAGTGTCTAAAAGGATAACAGTTTCACCGAAGTACTTCTAGAATGAGTATTGCCAAGGAAAGTGCACAATAATCCAACATATCCATTTATTTATATTTCTAAAAGTCAGCTCTACACTAAAACATGGAAAACTATCACAAATATCACTAATTTTCTACTAGCACTTTATTTATTAAAATATAAGATTTGAAACTAATCCCTACAGACTGACTTTTCATTTATATCTCAATGATAAAAACAAGTATAATAAGATCTAGGACTATAACAAGATCTAGTACTAGGAAAAATTTCCAAAGATGAAATTCTTACTTCAACTATGTCCTATAATATACTTTAAATCAATTATGTCCTATAATATACTTTAAATCAGTTTCATGCTAGTAATTCCGTGGTACTTCTGATATTTGGAATTTTCATTTCATTCCCATTCCAAGAAAGTTAAGTTGAAAAGTGCACGAACTCCACAATTCAACTATAGTATCAAATGGACAAAATAAGTTCTATAATTTGTAAGACCACAAAGAGTTAAACCCCTGAACAAGAAATAATGAAAGTAACCTATTACTTATTAAAATATTTTAAGGAATTTATATCAGTTCTTTAAAGCAAGAAAATAATACCGTTACATATACTGCTAACTTAATCATACATGGGCAATACACTTAATCCAACAAACATTCAGTTTCACAAAGACTTTATTAGCCTACAACCTGCCTTCATCACATAAAGCTACTTCAGATCTCAAGTTGGCCTATAACACAATCTCATTTCTGATAAAATAATTGATTTATAAATAAATTTCACTGAGAACAAAACTGATCTTCAAATCAAGACCCAGAAAAAAATAGAAAGGTTATTATTTTTTAATGCTCTTCTTACCATCCCCAAGAAATCAATGCATTTACTCATTCTTTGCTCTATTTCTAACCTTCTTATTTACTTAAGAATAATCTTAGTAAATTATCAGTCATATGTAACAAGTTGTTGAAGAAACAGAAATGAAAAATACCAATACTCCCTTCAAGCACTCACATTTTAACTTAGAAATATCCTGAATATAAACTATATGGTCCATATAAACATTCAAAAACAATATCCAATATCTTGATATAAATAAGTATACTCATAAAACTAACCTCTTTAAGAAAAACACAAAAACACTCATATTAAAGTACTTGTCTAAGAAAATGAACGTTAAGTATTTAATTTTATTCCCCATCATTAAATTATTGATACCATTTTAACACAAATGTATAGCTACAGTATAAGAACACTTAGCTGTAAAATGCATAACTGGATATATGAATAATACTTACTGTCATCCATCTGGAGACTTGGTGGGCAGTAGAATTTTTTATGGGTAATTAAATTTGGTAATCCTCTGAAGAGACTGCGACATAATTTACATTCAAAAATAGTGTCCACATCTTTTAATAAAATGTGCTTAAGTTGTTTAGTTCCTGAAGGAAAAAGAAAATAAAACTTAACACAAAAGGTAAATTTAATGTGCATTTTTAAACTGGGCAACCACTGTTGACAATCCAAAGTGCAATTACTCTTTGCAAACAAAATACAGGCATTGCCAATTTCCACCATTTGTATTCAGAACTAACTTATAAACTAAATTCTAAGTAAAATTCTAACATCACCTGGATATTGTGACAGCTAAAACTGATATTTTTTTTCTAATTCAGCAGCCAATCAATTCTTAGGATATCCCAACAGTGGTTTCAACATCTGGCTGATCATCAAAATAACCTGGGAATAATGATGTACATGAACCCCCTCTAGAGATTCTGATTCAATAGATATGGAAGGGAAAAGAATTAAACATACCCCTCCTCCACCAACCCCCTACTCCTTGCCAAAGTTTCTCGCTGCTCCCTTCTGCATTAAGACGTGAACATGGAGTTCTGTAATACGTTTTCCTGATTCCTTAAAGAAAGTCGAAACTGTCACAAGACTGCGTGTGACTTTTCTTTTTAAACTCAGCTCAAATTACTTCAGGTTCTGGGCCAACATGGGATTATGGTCATTGAGTGTCAGAGTATAGAATCCTTAACCATAATTTTAACTTTGCTTAGGCCTCCTGATACCACTATAAATTTATTCAAAGCCTTTCTCCCTCAAAAACTCACTCCAAGTGCAACTAATTAAATACTGATAGTTTACAGTTTAAACTAATTTAAAGCCTTTCTTCTCCACTAGATTATAAACTCCAAAGCAGCCAAGACCAAACCTGTCTTATTTATAACTACAAAGTATTCAGCTCTGGCAATGCTCAATATTAAAATTAGTTGAAGAAATGCCACTGATACAGGGAATCTAAGCATTATGACACAAGACCAAAAGGCAGGGGAAAAAAAAAATGGCAATGAGCATCCAATCTTTAAAGTAAGAACATCCACCAGGAATAAAACACAAATAGAATTTGTGTTTTAAATTTAAATTTGCCATTATTTCCTACAGGTTTTTGCCACAAGTAAATTGACAAAATTGATCTGCCATGCTTTACTAATTAATTAGCCTTTAATTGCCTCAAATAAAAAAGATGCTAATAATATTGACTTCAATATTAAACGTGTCCTGAAAAAAACCTTTAAAACTATCTAGGTGCAAAGTGTCCTTCTATCATTCCACAAGTACTTGACACTCTTTTAAGCTCTGGGACTACTAAAGAGTAAACACACTATACTATCCATCTTCTAAAATGAACACACCAAACCAAACCTATCTTAGACAATCATGAAAGAAAATATGAACCTAAATCCCAGAAAAATTAAATTACACATCTGGGTTTCTACTGGGAAAAAATAAATATAATGAAATCATTTCCACCATTTCTCAAATCCGAATCAATGGTTTACTGCACTAAACCATATTACCACGAAATCAGAAAATATAAATTTAAAAAGATTCAGAGGACAGCCCAAGTATTATTCTTAATATAAAGGTAAAATCAGGGTACCCGGGTGGCCCAGTGGGTTAAGCCTCTGCCTTCAGCTCAGGTCATGATCTCAGGGTCCTGGGATCGAGCCCCGCATCGGGCTCTCTGCTCAGCAGGGAGCCTGCTTCCCCCCTCTCTCTCTGCCTGTCTCTCTGCCTAATTGTGATCTCTCTCTCTCTGTCAAATAAATAAATAAAATCTTAAAAAAAAAACGGTAAAATCATACATACATACACATACACACAAACACACACATGCACGCACTTTCTTAGTCCACTTCGCATTGCAAAATATACTTACAAAAGACTGCTTTTGTTTAGTTCATAGTTAATCTCCTAAGTGACTGACAAACTATGAGAGGTAGACTGATGATAAAAATATTTTAGATAAGCCTAACCTATCTACAGAAGTATAGTTAAGTGTAGCACCAGTAAGAGGAAAACATAGAAAATTTTGTGCATTTAATTCCAAATTGAAATACCTGCTAGACCCATACTAAAGATTCAATTCTGCCTTTAAAAACAGTCAAAAAAAGACTGAAGAGGAATGCAAAAACAAGCTGAACTAGGTTTAAGAACCCAATTGAAGATTTAAATAGGAAGTATGAGGTTATACACAAAAAACAGTTACTGCTAAAAATACAAGACTGCATCCCTAAATCAGAGATCTCACTTTGTCCATCAGGTTTGCTCAACTATAAAAAGTAATTAATTAAAAATTAAAGAGGGGGCGCCTGGGTGGCTCAGTGGGTTAAGCCTCTGCCTTCGGCTCAGGTCATAATCTCAGGGTCCTGGGATCAAGCCGCACATTGGGCTCTCTGCTCAGCGGGAAGCTTGCTTCCCCTCTCGCTCTCTGCCTACTTGTGATCTCTCTCTCTGTGTCAAATAAATAAATAAAATCTTTTTAAAAAATTTAAAGAGAAATAGATAGGTATTCTTGTTTAGTCCTGGTTATAGAACTAGTTATATTCAGCAGAGTATATATTTGTTTCCAATAGCACCCCCCCCAAAATCTCTGGCCCTATCCTTAACTCATCAATCTTAATTATCATTCACAAATCCTTCCCCCACCCCATCCCACCTACACACACACACACACACACACACACACACATAAGCACAGTTGTGTTGACACAGGTACATCAAATTTCTTTCAGAGCCATGGGTTCACCAAATTGTTTCTCTCTCTTCTCAGGACTTCACCTATGTTTTTTTTCCTCCCACTGCCCCGGTCTGGCTCACTTCTAGTAATCCTTCAAACTCTGGGGAGCCTGGGTGGCTCAGTTGGTTAAGTGACTGCCTTCCGCTCAGGTCATGGACCCTGGAGGCCCAGGATCTAGCCCCAGGATCAAGCCCCAGAATCGAGCCCCAGGTTTAAGCCCCAGGTTCAAGTCCCAGAATTGAGACCCAGGTTCGAGACCCAGGATCTAGCCCCAGAATCAAGCCTCAGAATCAAGCCCCAGGTTTAAGCCCCAGGATCAAGTCATGCATCCTACCCTCCCCACTCTCATGCTCACTCTCTCTCTCTCTCTAATAAATAAAATCTTAAAACAAACAAAATTCCAGGTTAGAAGTCACTTCCCCCAGGAAGCCTTCTGATTCCTGGTTTTTGTTACGAATTCTTCACCCCTATTCCTACAGCACCCTATACATCTGTACTGTATTATCCCAGTATCTTTTAATTATTTTTCTGTAGTCCCATTAAGCTGGAGGCTCTAAAAGGATGGAGAAGATACCTTCAATGCTCATCGACTATATCCCCACTTCTCAGGACTACGCCTGACTGAGGTTTGTTAAATGACATATTAGAAGCTTTATGTTTAAGGAAACCTTCTCTATAGATTTTTTTTTAGGGTATAATAAAGTTGCCTGGGAAGCCAAAAAAAGACCTCAAAGATTTTTCTAATTCAACTTACACACTTTACAAATAAGAAAAATAAGACGTTGCCCATTCCATAAATACAGACAATAGAAGTTTTTCCCTAAGTTAGTTTTAGCTGTCATTTAAGGTTTTGATGTTTTTCCCATGTGGTCATAATGGCTTTGGACATAATGGTCTCATTAGCTACCATTTTTGACTGCTCTGCTCATTAACAATTAGACACAGCCAATCATCTGTGCCTCTGTCAACAGCTAAAACTTTCTGTCACCTGAGACAACAGACATGGTCATCTGGACAGCAACATAAAGTTCTTCCACTGCCCTTGATCCTGAAAGAGACCCATGCATAATCTTACTCCTAATTATTCCTTTTCCTGTATGAGTAACATTTTCTTGCCCTATATCTTAGAACTATCTTAGAAGTCACTGTTTACTGATTACATTAATCAGTATCTTTCAAAAAAAAAAAAAAAAAAAACAGCCCTCCAAAGAGTAAGGCTTTTGATGATTAGAAATTAACTAATTAGTGAATATTTCAGATTCTCATAATAGATGCTCAGTAAAAATTACTCAAACCCCAACAAGGGTTTAGTCATATGCTATTCCTTAACATCAAATACATTGTATGTACTGAGAAAAATATTTAAAAGATTTTTTTCAAAAGGAATCAGTATTCAGTTTTACATTAGGGTGGAGGGGCAGTCACTTTACATGATGAGATATTAATTCTAACTCTTCTGTGCCAAAGATAAGCTTTCATTTTTTTCCTTAATATATGGATATGTTGGTCAATGACCATTTTAAGTTGTAGCAGTAATGATTTTTAAATGGTATACTGCTTGCTTTATGATTCACACATGAGCTTAATCATTTTTAACATGACTGTTTAAACGCACTGCAAGCAAAGCTGTAATTCCTGTCAAAACTGATTTCCAAGGCCAGTTTATGAAGGAAATTTCTAACTGATCATCCCTTAACAAAAGTTCTTAAAGTGGGGGGGTAATTTAAGAAAATTTTTTTTCTTTTTTTTTAAAGATTTTATTCATTTTTTATTTATTTGGCAGACAGAGATCATAAGTAGGCAGAGAGGCAGGCAGAGAGAGAGAGAGGAGGAAGCAGGCTCCCCGCTAAGCAGAGAGCCCGATGCGGGGCTCGATCCCAAGACCCTGAGATCATGACCCGAGCCGAAGGCAGAGGCCTTAACCCACTGAGCCACCCAGGCGCCCCTAATTTAAGAAAATTTAAATTGATTTCTTAAAACTACCACCTGCAAGAGTTGGTTAAAAAAAATTACTAGGTTAGGGGCACCTGGGTGGCTTAGATGGTTAAGAGTCTGCCTTCAGCTCAGGTCATGATCTCAGGGTCCTAGGATCAAGCCCCACATCAGGCTCCTAGGATCAAGCCCCACATCAGGCTCCCTGCTCAGCAGAGTCTACTTCTCCCTTTCCCTCTGCCTCTCTCCCTGCTTGTGCATGCTCTCTCTCTCTCTCTCAAATGAATAAATAAAATCTTTCTTAAAAAGTTACTAGGTTGGGCTGCCTGGGTGGCTCGGTGGGTTAAGCCTCTGCCTTCAGCTCAGGTCCTGATCTCAGGGTTCTGGGATCGAGTCCCACATCAGGCTCTCTGCTAGGCAAGGAGCCTGCTGCTTCCTCCTCTCTCTCTACTTGTGATCTCTCTCTCTGTCAAATAAATTTAAAAAAAAAATCTTTAAAAAAAAATTACTAGGTTAATTATGGAACAGTGCTACATACTACAATAAATGTATAAGCAGAACAAAATGATTCTAGTGCCACTTGGTTAATATTTTCATCTTACAAACATTTTTTGGACACCTACTAAATATGAGTTTACAATGTTATTACTGGAAACATGAAAGTGAAGGATCTGATCTGTGCCCTTAAGAAATTCCCAGACTAATATAAATGTCTGCTCCTCTAGGAACATAGCCTCAGATAACATTCTTTGAAGAATATAAGAACAACAAATCAAACAAATAAATCTACATCTGTCTTATTGGTATTTGGTAACAACCAAAAACAAAACCTATATGATAATGATGCTCTCTTATCTTATATATCTCCGAAAAATCACACTTCCATCCTCAGTTTTTGTTTGTAGTCAGGACTAAGGCATCACCATCCAGAAACAGCTTACACTAAATGCAGGTAATGTTTTAAACAGTACAAAACCAAAACAAAACAAAAACTCTTCTAAGAAGTTAAATGACCAAACCTAAGATGATAATGACAATAGCAAATACCATACAAAGCTAATTCTCATTTTTCATTACAATTCACTCCTCCCTAAGAGTCAGAAAAGATGCTCTTCCTTGCACATAGTAGTAGTGTATTTTATAGAATCTTTTTTCTATGATATTATATATATTTTTATAACGTTATATATTTCAAGGATTCAAAAAAAAATATCGACTTCATAAGAAAGACCAGTTTTGAATATCAGACTAAATAATTATCCTTCTCTTTTCTCTCCATGAATATTAGACTAAATAATTATCCTTCTCTTTTCTCCCCATTTTTCTGTTTCTAATCTTAGGGCATTCAATAGCTCCTTTGCCTCTACCAGAAGACTGAGAGACTAAGAAAGAATATTAAGCTCAATTAAATCGATGTTAATAAATGTCTCATCGAAGTACACCTTTTTTGTTGTTGTTGTTACTTAAAATTCTGTTTCAGTTTGGGGAGAGAGGTCAGGAAGAAAGGAAGCTAAAATTAAAGTGTCAATAAAAAGAAGATAAATTTGAAGACATCGAGTCACAGATGTGATCCTAGAAGGACTAACAGAGCTAAGGCAGCGCTCTAGCAAAAGGCAGGACCCAGTCAAGATAGTACAGAAGCCAGGGATACAGAGCAAACAGCATGTCTCAAAGTCATTAAACCATCAGGGATTTCAATCTGTAGGTTGGAGCAAAATAGGCAACCTTCTAAAAAATGAGGTATCTATGGACAAATGTCAAACAACAGCAAAATGTACTGTTAATAAAGCAAAAATACATAGCAGTGTGCAGAATCAGCTACCATTAGTACTGGGGGGAAAAGTGAGGGATATATGCTTGTACATGTATACAGGGTCTCTAGAAGAAGACACATAAATCATGTAGCAGTGGCTGCCTGAGCAGAGACTTATTTTTGTATTTCTATACATCCTTTTATACTTCCTTATTATTTTTAAACCATGGGCACTTATGACTTAGTCCAATAATATTACTTATTCCAATATAGGAATATTACTTAATTCCAGAAAGAAAAATCTATTCAAATTAATTTACAAGTGAAGTGGCCAGAAATAAAAAGATATCAGAGGTCAAGAAAGATTTATCATTTAAAACCAGAAAAACAGTCCAAAGTAAAGACTAAATTGTGAGGCAAAGAAAACAAGTCAAAACTGATCATGCAGTCAGTACAGCACATGTGGGGCTGGCAGACCAAAAAAATTAGTTAACTCATTCCTCAGCCTTTTATGAACTTCCAGCTTGGGTAGGAATTAATACCAGGTCACAGACAGCCAAGTGTGGACAGAAGGTGAGTAACTTAGAAATGGTATAATAGCTGAAGACAACTATCTGAGCTTAAAGATTAAGCTAGATATCCTAACACATTACTAATGCCCCACCTGATTTAGCCTCCATACGTTAGTGAGAGCAAAAGCACAGACTTTGGATAGTTCTTTTAAATGCAATGTCTGTAACCCAGCTGCAATGGAAAGAGTCTAGAAAGAAATGAGTCACTGAAGGTGTGGCTGAGAGTAGAATAGGACCAGGAAGAACTTAGAGGGTAAGAATGGATCTTCGTCCTTAAGTCATGTGGCCCAAACTTCCGTTCTATCCTCCCAAAGTTTCAGTTAGCCAGGGCTTGGATACTTCAGTGCCAAAGAGCTACCTTAGCAAACTTTAGATTATACTGATGAAGAGATTACAATCTTGAGGAAATTAAAATTGCTTAGTTCTGAGACACATTAACAAAGTAAAAGAATTCCTTTCTTTAAATCCAAAATTAGTTCTTTGTATTGCTAAGCAAATTTCTAAATCACTTCTAATTTAAATCACTGGGTACTCAGAATTAAATTTATAGTATTTTCAGAATTTTCCTAAATAAAACATAACTCAGAAGGCAAATGTGAATTTAAAAGGTCAGAAGGGGACATTTAAAAAAGAACATTTTACCCATTTCACAGACACTTCTGCTAAAGAAATAGCAAATACAGGAAACAGACATGAGCACAATGCAAAAAGAAAACAATTTCATTTCTAAATATTCATCTTCCAAAGTTAAACACAGATTTTGAGAACAGGATCTTCTTGAAAAGGTGTATTTTATAAGACAAAGCATTTATGAATGAACAAATTCTAACTTCTTAATCAAATAACACTATAATAAATTGAAGTAAGTATAAAATAATCTTATTCATTTCAAATTTTGGATTTTAAAAAAGAAACCTATGGGGTAGCTGGTTGGTTCAGTCAGTTAAGCATTGACTCCTCTTGACTTCAGCTGAGGCCATGATCTCAGGGTTGTGAGATCCAGCCCTGCATCCGCCTCCACACTGGATATAGAGCCTGCTTAAGATTCTCTCCTCCACCCCCCTCCTACCACTCCCCCCAACCCCTCTCTCACCTCTCTTAAAAAAAAGAAAAAGAAAAGAAAAAAAACCTATAGCAAAGAATATAAAAAATGTGAAAAGCTATAACCTTCATTTCCTTGAGAAAGAACAAAAAGAATTACCTACCAAAAGTAGCTAAAAGAAACTCTTACTATGACCAGAAACTAATCCTTCTTCTGTTATACCAGAAATATATTATAAATACCACCCCTAGTAAGTAACATTTTAATTGTATTTATCATAGGAAAATCTGACCTATCAGTTACTTCTGTTAATGAACGACAGCTATCAAAAATAAAAACAACAAAAGACACCCAAAATAGACTGCGCCACCATTCAACGTGGGCAAGGCATGGATACACACTCAATACTTAACTGATTTAAATATACATAAAAGCAAAGCCGTGAGGACTATAGATTAAAAATTGATTAAAATTAATAGATTAAAAATGGATTAAAAATCTATTTAAAATTAGATTAAAAATCCAAGAAACAGATCTCGGGAACTCAGAAATAAAAATAATTTTTATTTTAGATTAAGTAGCAATCTATTTCTTGGATCCTAAAATATGGCAAATACGTTATTTCTCTTTACAATGACTTAAAAATAAGCACCTCACAGCATTTATCAATACAATTGGTTACATAAAAATTATCTTTTCCTTTTAATCTCAGAAATTTTTTATTAGAATAGTAAACTTTAGAATAATAACAAAAGGTATTCTAACCCTTAAGTTTCCATCAGTTAAGTGTCCCATCAATCACGTGTTTGCTGACTCAACAGTCTGCGATGTCAGAGAAGCTAAATCTACAAAAGGTGGATAAGTGGATCATAAGAACCACAACCTATGATCTCACTGAGAAAGGAGTTCTAACAGTTCTCAGCCATGGATATGTAGTAAGCAACACGTATTTTAAAGCACTGGACTCCAACTGTACAAATATACTTCTTATACATCCAATTATTATAATGATCTAATAGAAAGCGAAGCTAAACAAATGTATCCAAAGAGACCAGGGACTGGAATAAGTATTTTTCCTGTCTTGTGCTCTATCAAAGATGTTGAAACTACAGGGTGAGGTGAGTCACATAAACAGAGATGATAAAGTAATTAATCTTGAACAAGTGACATCTCAGATATTCTGAATAAATAATCTACTCTGCCAATGCTTATAAAGACCCAGTATAATTTACTAGTGTCCATTGAGGGTTTACAAAGATATGCCAAAAAATTTAACAATAAATTGTTGAGAAGAGGCATGTTACCAATAAAGATACCACATATATTTCTTGAAACCACACTAAGTTTATTTCTATATTAGTATATAATATATAGTACTGAAAAAGAATCTAAAGCAAGTCAATATTTATTCATCCACTTTTTAAAAATTTGACAATTAAAAATATTCTATAAAACCAACGTACACAATTTAATATTTTTTAAAAATTAATTCTAAGGATTTCTAGGTAGTTTTTAACTATTATGTGAAGATTGAAAAATACATCCTAAAACATTCATACCTGATCGAAAGCACTCAATTATTTGTTGAATACCAGATTTGGATGTCTGTAGTGGTTGCTGTAACAAAGGAGCATCTCCAGGTTCCAGGATATAAACTACATGGAAGACAAACACCCACCCCAATCCCCACAAAAAAAGGGTTATTTAAATCATTTACTATTGAAGAAAAACAATGGTTTGCTACAATCATGTTAATGATAATCACACTTGTTTGTATATACTTCACCATCATCTTTGTAAGGCACAATGAAATAATGGGAAAAAAATAACTAAGATTATTCTCAATTCAAGGCTAAATTAAAGCTACCTAAGGCTTCAAATGCAAAGATTTACTATTTTGGTATTTACTACATATTCGTCATGTTTGCCTTTTTATTCCCCTTGAAGAGGAGCCTCTGTATTTAATCAAAATTCTAGGGCAACGATGTCCTAGCCACATCTCATAAACCATTCCAGAACCCTCTGGACAATCTACTACAGCTCTCTGGGCAATTATGAGAGTAAAACTCAAAAACCACTGCCTAAGGAAAGGACTAGTGAAGTGCACAATGACAGATGTTTAAGAATGTTCACTGCAGCCTCTAAATAATAAAGAAAAAATTTCAAACAAATTAAAAATCTCTCAATAGGAACCAGACTAAATAAACTATGAAACAGCCCTACAACAGAGTCCTTCACGGCTCTTAGAAAGCATGAACTAAATCTACATATACCAACAACAAAAGTTGTCAAAAATAGATTGTTGAGCAACAAAAACAGGTTAGAGAATATGATCTCACTTATATTAATATATATTTCAATAGATACAGAAAGAAATTTAATGTATATGTGTGTTTATGTATAGCCACTAATATAAACATAAAAAGTCTAGCAAGATACCAACAAAACAAGGGTTCTGTCAGGGTGGACTTTACAGGGGTGATTTTCATTTTCGGCCTCACACTTTGCTAGTGTTTCAGAGCCTGGGCTTTTATAGAAGTATTAAAACACACAGGTTAAAACACACACACACACACACACACTTTTATAATAAGTAAAAATACTATTTCCACTTTTAAAATAAAAATTTTCATTTTCATATACAGATGTCTGCTTTCCAAAGTTCTCAGATTCACAGTATAATTATATAATAAATTAGATTATGATAATATGAAAAAAAGGTAACTGAAAAGGAAAACAGTTTTCCATCAGATACTAAAGATATGGTTTTGGTAGAGAAAAACCAGCCATTTTAATTAACTTTTTTCAATATGTTATAATGTTCTACTCAACTATTACCTTCTTAACCCAGGATCATCCACTCTGTGGGAAAATAAGGAGGACTACTGCAATAATGTGTGCTGCTACTGCTCCAGGGCCTGGTCTTGGGCAGCATTTGGCTTTCTGATAAGGGCTAAAGCCTACTGTGCCATGTATTTAGACACAGCCTTAGATTCTACGTTAAGGCTTCAAATCTTGTCCTCAGTGTATACAAGTTGGACGGAACTATCTCAGGACCAAGTCATTTTATTAAGTACAACTCTCCCAATTTTAAGAGATATGTAAGAAGTATTTTAAATGAATTAAGAACATGCACACACCCACAACTCATTTTGAGAACATCTGACATTGGCATTACCTGCAGCAATTAAAAATACAAAGACTACAGACCTGGACTTACTACACTGAAATATTTTTCTAACATTTATTAGATACAACTAAAGCAAATTAAACTCTCTGATCTCTTTCCCATCTCTAAAATGGGGTTAATAAAAGTACCTAAATTATAGAGTTCTACGAGGATTAAATGAGCTAATGTAGGTTAACTAGTTAAAACAGAGCCTGGGATATAGTAAGTGTTCAATAAATGTTCTATCACCACCGCCATCATCATGTATGAAATCAATTGCTTTCTGACATCAAAAACTGAAAAACTGTTTCCAAAATCTAAAAAGTAGAATTCAACCCTTCAAAGATGCAATAACAGAAGTTTATAAATAGACTGATGATACCATTATTTGGATCAGATGGATCTCTTTTCATGATTTGTACAAAACAACTGACTAATAAAAATAATAACTACAAAAGAGAGGGTAGAAACTATACAGTTATAAAGAACTAAAAGTATCAAGGGTTGGCTCTATAAGTAGCAAGAATTTTAGAAAGGGAAAATTTTTTAAAAAACAGTAATGAGTAAGGGAGGGATATGGAGAAAAAATAGAAATTTGTCCTCAGAGTCCCCTTTCCTCATTTAAAAATGCTCCATGAAATAAGTCAATCAGAGAAAGACAATTATCATATGATCTCCCTGACATGAGGAATCTAAGAAGCAAAGTGGGGGGTTTGGGGAGTAGGGAAGGAAAAAATGAAACAAGATGGGATCGGGAGGGAGACAAACCATAAGAGACTCAATCTCACAAAACAAACTGAGGGTTGCTGGGGGGAGGGAGAGGGTGGTTGGGTTGTGGACATTGGGGAGGGTATGTGCTATGGTGAGTGCTGTGAAGTGTGTAAGCCTGACAATTCACAGACCTGTACCCCTGGAGCTAATAATACATTATATGTTAATAAAATTAAATAAGTTAATAAATAAAATAAAAATGCTCCAGAAAACTTTAATACACCAGCTTCCATTTCCACAAAAGAACATCTGATTTCAAAACTACAGCAAAATTTGTTACCTAATCACCTTCAGAACACTACTACCACTACACACATCAACATCCTGAAACACCATTCAAAATAACCCCCGAGTTAGCTTAGTTATCCATGGAAACATCCACTTAGCATACAGATCTGTGTCGTTAATGTTGTAAAACAAACAAACAAAAACCTAAAAACCTTTATTTATTAGTATCTTATAAAAGTTTCCTCTCCTATATCCTATCATCCCTCCCAAGATCAGTTTACACAACCATTAGGAAAAAAGCCATCATCTCCCTCTAATCAAAACACCCAAACCCTCAGAAGTTAACATATGTCTTTATATCCTTCCAAGAACACACTTCCCAGAATCAAATACCTACTTTTGTAACAGTCTCTCCTACCTTAAAAAAGAGCCCCTTAAAATAACTTTCTGCTTATGATGTCTGGGATTTACTCACAAATAATAGAGGGCAGGGAAGCAGTGGGAGGGTGGAAAACGGAACTGTGAAGAAGCGAGAATAGAGGAAAAAAAAAAAAGAGATTGTCCATGTATCGGTATGTTGTGTGACGCTTACAACAGGTTCCTTACACCATTCTCTCTACCTCTGAATTCTGAAAAGTTCTGTAAGAAACATTCTTAAGACATAAATAAGAAAGTACTTTACATATACTGACAGGCTTATATCACCACCCTTCACTACACATTGACCCATCCTATTAAGGCCTCCTCAGGAACACACGGCTCAGGGATCAGCCCCACTATTCATAATTCAAAAGAGGCTAGATCCCTGATGATTGCCCATTAAAAGAACTTCTCAAACACCATGTCATCTTCTTCCCTCCATCTGAAGGCATCCTCTTTTTAAAACTATCATAACATATTCCTTTCAGTACTGGAAAAACCTTCCACACAGCACTTACCTTCCTCTGAAACAATGACAATTAACTATCCTGTAAGTTAACAAACTTCTAGCTTTCCACCAAACTACTCTTCAGAAAGTGTTTAATCTAGCTAAGAAAGCAAAGAATCACAACTACTTATGACCTGGTAGTCTGAAAAATAAACTGCATTCAAAAAGTTTCTGGCAAAAGAAATTTAATTTTTTAAAATTCATGCAACTTAGAAGATTTCTTGTTAATGAGGGAGGGAAAAAAACAAAGAAATTCCAATACATATTAAAAATTCAACTCTGAAAATCATCCTGAAAAAGACATTAAAGTCTCTAGAAAACTTTATCAGAATACACCAAATAAGGTATGGTCACAAATTATTCAATTACTTGTCTGTATCTATTTCTTCCCACTCAAAAGTTCTATGAGGAAATGACCTTATCTCTTTTGTTCACCACTTACATGCACATCGCCTTGGACAGTGCCTAGCACCTAACAGGTGCTCAATAATAATTTGTCAAAGAAATAAAGAAATAAATGAACACAAACTTCTTCCTAAGTAAAAGGTTTTATTTTAAATGATTTTAATTCAACTTAAATGACTTGAACTGTTCTCAAAAAACAAACAAACCAAAAAAAAAAAAAAAACTGGAATAAAAGATCAGTGAACTAGAAGTATAAAAAGCATTCACAGCCTTCTACTTCAAAACTAACAAATTCCATTCAATATTTGATAAAATATAAATGACACATAAAATACACAAAATGTGCAGTATGAAGGGGTGCTGAGATAGGTCAGGGGCAGTTGAACACAAACTGGATCCCATCCTGGGACTATATTATTAGCAGAGGTAAGTTATTACTGATTTCCAATAAGCCAGGCCAGGGGGGGTGGGGTGGGGGGGGACAGGGCCATAGTACATGTGTACCAAAGTTTTCTGAAAATGGGAGTTCTTCCTCTTTACCACTGCCATTTTTTCCCATTAGTCAAAAAAGTCCTCTACCTGAACTCCACTGTGACAGAACCAAGTACACCAGAGCAGTTAAAATACTCCAACAAAAAAACAAGCAAAAGCATAAAAAGTCCTAATAACTTTTAGGTCAAAAATAATGATAAACACCTGCTTTTAAACTAGAATAGCCTTTGGTTTAGTGACATATGTACTCAATGATTCCCTTTTAACTTGCACCTCTAAGAGGACAAAACATATCAAACTTCTAGTAACTAGAAAACTCAAGCTTACATACCACATTTATCAAATTAGTCTTCTAATATTCTTCAAGAGACTCGAAAAAGGAACTTTTTCATTCCATAAATCCAACTAAAAACAGTTCTACTGAATAAACTACCCTAAAAATACTTATGTACTCTACCTAAATAACCAGATTTTTTATTTTGCATTACAGTATATTCTGAGCAAGAAAATTTTTTAAAGGTTGCAGTCAGCAAAACCTGATTCTTCCAACAAGCTGAGTATAACAAACTTTTTTAGCCCAACCACACTCACTTTTAGGCTTTAACCGCTAAACCCTGGTGAATATGCGTAAGAAACTTAATTTTTAAAAGTTTAAATGAATCCCCTTTCACAAAGACATGCTACTATTCTGCTACCTATTTTCTCCTCTGTCTTCAGTTTTAAACATTCAAAGGACACGGGGCAAATACTACTAACTGCAGCCTGCCTCAAAAGAAGGAAAAGGAACTGAGGGATTGATCTTGTGGAAAAGATTTAAGGTGACACCTGCAGTACTTTTTTTAAGGGATCAGGCAGAAGAGACCTCTTGTTTATACAAGCTTTTAGCTTCATAACTAGTTTTATACTGGGGAAAATTACAGCCTGCTTACTTAGACATGACTTCTAGGGCAGGAGGAAAAGAAAACTGGAAGGAAACACAAGGCAGAGTAGCTGTGACGGAGGGCAAAGTAACTGGAGGGGAAAGGAATATATACCTGGTTCACAGCATCCGTGATGATGGTGGTCAGTCTGACAGTATTTGTCCCTTAAAGGCATTTTCAGTGGGCGAGACCTACTTTCCTTTCACTGTAAGAAGCTCTTCATTGCGGCTTGGCTGTTGAAAGAAGCACAAACCCGTCACTCACCCTGAACTTCCTGGGGGGGCTCTGGCTCTATTTTCCACATACGTTCCCTCCACCCGCCCTCCGTTCTCCCTCCACGGTACCCGTACCTTCTTCTAGAACCTAGAAGAGAAAAACGCACAAAGGCTTCTCCAGCCCCAACTCCCGCACAGATTCAGCACCCTACCCGGAAACGCAGCCTGGGCGCGCAGCGCAAAGCGAGGGCCTGGCCGGCTGCGCGGGCGGCAGCGGCCTCGCCGGCCCGGGCGGGCGCGCGCGGAGAGAGAGGCGCGGAGCGCGGCGGGCACGGCCGGCGCCGGGGCCCGAGGAGGCGCGGGCGCGGCGACAGGACCGGTCGAGGTGCGGCTCCCGCCGGCGGCCGGCCCACGCCGCACCCTCCCGCCACGCACGTGCGTTGGGGTCTCCGCGGTGGAGCCCCTGTCCCCGTAACCAAGTGCGCCCAACTTACTTAACTCCTAGGGCGGGCCGGCGGGCAGGCGGAAGGAAGGAAGGCAGGCCGGGCAGCCTCGGGGACAGCCTGGCGTGGGAGGCGGCTTCGGGCCCCACCTGGCGCAGCCTCGGCGGACCACGCGAAGGGAACCGGGGTTCGGGCCCGACGCGCTCCCAAAGAGTCCCCGCCGGCGCTGACGCGGAAGCGCCACAGCTCACCACGTCCCTCCGCGGCCCGAGGCGACGGCGACGGCGACGGCGGCTCACGGCGTCCCTCCGCGCTGTGGAGCTGGGCGGGCGGGCGGCGCGCGGGCGCAGGCAGTTGACAGGAGGAACCGCCCCGCAGAAGCCGCCGTCGCCACCGAAGGAGCCGGAACCGGAGCGGGCAGGACCTGGGCGCCCCTCGCCGGGGCAACGGCTGCCGCCGGAGCCCGGCTCCCCCCCTCCCAGCACCGCTCCACCTGCAACGGTCCCTCAGGCTTTTGGAGAGGGGCGGGGAAGAATGGGGGTTTCCCCCCACCTTGGGCCTCTTTTGCTAGTAGTTGTTGTTTCAGGAAACTTTATTAAGTCCGTCTCTTTCTTTCTCTGTCTCCCCCTCCCCGAAGAGCCTGAGCTACCGCCGCGGAGCGGGTAGGAAGGGGGAAGCAGAGACTCTCCCGCAGCGACAGGGAGCGACTGACTGACCCCGGACGGAGATGGGGCGAGGGCAGGAAGTGACAAGCTCTCGGAGTGGGTGGGGGGAGTGTGGCCGGCACGCCCGGGAGCGTCCCGCGCATGCGCCCCACCGGGCGCCCGGGCCTGTGGGGAGGTGACGCTCCACGGCCCGGCGAAGGGAGGGAACCTTGGCCGGTGGCGCTGGAGCCGCGACTCGGGGGTCTCGGGCCGGCCACTCGTCCGCGCGTCCTCCCGCGGGCCGACGGAGAGCCGAAGCCCCGGGCTGTTGGTACCTGGATGATGGGCTGACGGCCAGGCAAACTGTTGCTTTTCTCCTTCCGTTGGAACCGAAACAAGGAGGGTTGGAAAAGCACGGGAATGAGCTGTAGGAAGAGGCTCGACAAATGGGTGAGCCGTAGGTAGTGGTGATTCCGAAAAGGTTGTCAGCACGCTTACGGTAAAGGTCGATTTTTTGTTGTTTTTGTTTTTTCACCCGAGAATTTTCGAAGTGTGCCTCTCAGCACTTTGGGGTTTTCATCAGGTCTTTGGGAAGAAGCTGGTGGAGGATCGGAATTGATTGCCGCGACCCCCGCTTCTGAACCTGAAGGCGAAGAAGGTGGGTCACGTGGGCAGAACGCACTTTCCCTCCAGTTCAGTGCCCGCGTCCTGCTTGGAAAATCCCCGAAGATCGCGGTCGTCTGTCAAATTCCGCAAACCCATGCGGTCGCCCCTTGGAGCAGGAGAGCCGCCGCCTCAACTCCCAGGACGGAGTTTTTGTTCTACAAGCAAATACATGTTCACTGTCAGTCGGGAAATGTTAAGGGAGAAAAAGCCCTTACGCTTTATCTCCTCCCGCCGAAAGATGCACTGAAAAATCTCCGCAGTTGTGTAGCTTGAATTATCCGTTTTCGGGGTCCTGAAAGAGCAGTTCAGTGGTAGGTAGATTCTGTGTGCATTTTGGAAGAGCAAACGAGGGACTGAAATCTGTTTACAAAATTCATAGGAAAGTTTGTGGTAGGTCCAGTAATTAATTGATCAACTCGTTATTGTAAAAATACTGAACGGAACATTTACATAGGTCTTGGGGGCTTGTAGCAGCTTGGTTATAGGGGTGACAGGAAAAGGAAGAGTGGTCCAGGTAATCCATTTTTTTAAGGGAATTACAGGTACTGTGCATTCTACACAGCAGTCACATACGTGGTATGGTTGATCATTTTTTTCTGTCCCATTGTCAAGAGGAGTCAAACTAAAATGTAATGCCACAACCTACATGTAAGGTAAAAAATTATGATATGTCCACGTGATGGTATTTGTTACGCAGCCAAGAAAAATTATTTTGTGTAATATTTAATTGTGTGCAGTATGTTTAAGCGTATCGAAAAAAATTTAATGTGACACCTTAACAGTGGAGTTACAGGTAATTTTTATTTAACACTGGAGATCTTTGGTAAAATTTGAGTGAAATATTCATTTCCAGAGGATCTTTTCCTTCTTTTATAAGCACATTTATTTAAGGCAGGTTAAAAAATGAATATACAAATGTAAGTTTCCATAAATGTGAAAAGGCACTGCTTCAGATATGTGAATTATAATTGTTTGCTGGCCACATATGAATAAAAAATGGTTAGCTTCCTGAGTAAATGCAAGAGTCTTTATACTAGAGTGGTTGGTACTAGACAGTCCCCAAAATTGCTTGCCAATAGAATGAATTTTAAACAGTTTTTGAGGGCACCTGGGTGGCTCAGTGGGTTAAAGCCTATGCCTTCGGCTCAGGTCATGATTCCAGGGTCCTGGGATCGAGCCCCGCATCAGGCTCTCTGTTCAGCAGGGAGCCTGCTTCCTCCTCTCTCTCTCTGTCTGCCCCTCTGCCTACTTGTGATCTTTGTCTGTCAAATAAATAAATAAAATCTTTAAAAAAAAAAAAACAGTTTTTGAGAAATTAGAAGTATAGACAAGAATGAACATCTGTGTGGGTAAAACAGATATTGAATACTGAACCAGATTTTTAAAGATGAAACCATGGAAATTATTGAGTAAACCTTACTTTATAAATGAGAAAACTGAAATCCAGAGAGGTTAGCTGATATGCTAAAGGTCACAAAGTAACAGAACTAGGACTAATACCTAGATCAGTCCCTTCTATAACAATACTAGTATCTGACATGTATTGAGTAATACGTTTTAAGCTCAAGAATAACTCATTTAATCCTATTAACAATTCAATCCATTCTGCAGGGAATGGGAAACTGAGGCAGAAATAGGTTAGATAACTCCCCAAGGTTACCTGAAACATACAGCTAATAGGCAACTAAGCCAGCTTTTGAACCCAAGCAGAATGGCTCTGAGACTCATGACCTTAGCCATTACCCTGTATTGCCTATACTATGTCGCCTACTTTATACCATAACCGTTTTGGATCACACTATATGTGAAAGATGAGCCAGTAGATCCTGTCATTTGTGAAAGGTATTAAAATGCTATGTCAAAGTTTATGGAGTTGTTAAATCACAAGAATTTAATTGAAATTTCATAGGGTTCTAGAGCTTAGACTTTGGGCATCATCTAGAATTATCATCCTACCTCTAAAAACACTGCACAAATCATCCCAGAAAAATTACATCTTCCCTTCATTGTACACTGCAGCAACCTAGGTGACACGTTATTACGGCTTTAGGAAACCTTTTGATCCTTAAAGTTCGGAAGTACATCCTAATGATTAACCTAAGATCATTTTATGGTTTAAAATTATTCTGTCATCTTCAAGACAGGAAAATTCTACCATAAATATACACACACACATACACATACACATTTATTATTGCTGCATAAGAAACCACTAGAAATAGTGCTTTAAAACCATTTTATATACTCTCAAATTCTATAAATCAGTGATTAAGACTCGCCTTGTCTGGGATCAAATATTAAACTGTTGATCTGTTATCAACTATATAGAATTTAACACGTAAGTATCATACAAGCAACATAATATGAAAAAAGGTAATGCATTCCCTAAGGTGTTTATTTTAAGGAGAGTAAGGAGTAGGTTGTACTTGGGTGCTGCCCTGGAGATAAGTTGCCTACCAGGAAACCCCTGAAGTGAACTTGTATCTTTCATTCCAAGTGTTAAGGCACACTTAGGTCTTGCCAGGTGACACAATGCATGCACCACACTGCCATATGGGCACCAAAACATCCTTGACAAGTCTTCCACTCAAATGCATTTCAGATAACATGAATTTCATTTTTTCTAATGTTCTTGTTATAAGGGAGTTTGTTCATAAGTCTGTATTAATTAGTGTCTGAGTGAAGATTTAAATACAGGTCTGAGTCCAGGTCCTGTGCCTCAAGTTACATATATTCTAATTATTACTAAAATAGTATGTCCAGGTTAGACCTGTCTCTGGAGCCTCTAAACTCTTAACTACCCATAAGACAGACCATCTGACTTTCTCCAGGCATCTCAAAATTAGCAGGACCAAAACTGAACTTCTTACCAAACTGTTCTTTCTTTTTCAAATTTTAACCTAAGGTGTTCCTATCCATTTAGTCCTTCAAGACAGAAGTCTTAGAGTCAAAGACAAGAGCATTGGCACAGATGCAAAGTAATGGAAGTTATCTGTATACAGGTTTCTCATCTCACTTATCCCCAACATCTAACCTACCACCATAAACAATTGGCTATACCTCAAAAAGTTCGAGAAAATAATTTCCTCTCTCCATATGCACCATCAAACTTCTAGTCTAAAACCTCATCTCTGAACCATTGCCATAATCACTTTTATGCCATAATCACTTCCGTGGTCTCCCTACTACCCTTCTTTCCCTCCCTCAATTATTCCACACTATCAATAGAATTATGTTCAAAGAAATCTCTGAAAATCTCTCTTGACTCCCAATTTTTTACATGAAGAAATCAAATCTTAACAAAAAGCATAAAACCAAAGTACATTTGGGGTCAGAAAAATCTAGATGTTAGTCCTATCTCCATCAATCATGGGTTTTGGGTCTCTAAGTAAGTAAGAACCTCTTCTGAGCCTCAGTTTTCTCAGCTGTAAGCTATTTTCAGCATGGTGAGAAATTGGTTAATAAAGCATCCAGCAGGATCTGGAACACAGTACAGGTATATAATAAATACTCATTACACCTGGCCCTCCCACAACTTCACAACTTTATTCTCTAAGGATTTCTCGCCCTTTTCAAAAACAAAGCAAAAAGTAGTTAAACTGGGTGGGGAAGGAGTGTGGGACACAAGGGAATTTTAGAGAGAGATGATAGAGGTGTGGGTTTACAAGGGTGTATCCATTTGTTAAAGCAACTATTAGAATAGTGGTTACCTTTCCAGGAAGGAGTAGGTTGGCATGTGGAACTGAATGAAACAGTAACAATTTGGGAATAACTGGCCATTTTATAGATTTTGAGCTCAGTGATC